AATTTTTTTTTTTAGCACTAAAAAAGCAAGATATACCAAAAAACACTTTGTTCAGCTAACCATGTTAGTAATAATTTTAAGAACTTATTCTAGTGTCTGCAATTTGAACTTATGGAACCACCTTGACTGTAGAATTACCTGCTCATCTTCAATTTGGGAAGAATATGCCCATTGACTTACGATAGTGACTCAGGACAAACCATCAACTCACAGTTGAAAAGATAAAAGCCCATTGATTCAAAAAACAGTTTTTCAGTGTCCCAGATGCAAGCCAGTAGATCCAAATAACAGGTATAAATATTTACCAATGAAATAACACTAAGCAACCATTCATATATTGATGAAACCAAAACATGGCAACCATCCCCACCATATTAGGTACTAATTGAAGTTTTCTGGTGATATAACTGAATACACTAGCCAACGCATGGAAACATCACAAATAATTTTAAACATATAAGATCAACATTTAGAGTTTGGTCATGTTTCCACCAAGCAAGACTCATAATCAGTTAAAATTACAAGTCAATGCCAATCAACCCCCAACCCTAGAGCTACAATCAATTATGTTGCATTAAACCATGGATTTAACTATAATAACCTTATACTCTTGCGCGTATAATGAGGCTGTGAAGGCAGCGAATATTAGAACAATAGAAAGTTTTCAAATTTCAGTGACCAGCAATAGAAGGCAACAAATTTAAGTATTTCACAAAAGCCTACTGTAGAAACTAAAAAAGCATATGAAGATTGATGCAGAAACTAGTACAATTATGCCCCATTCATATATTGCATAAACAAAGACAAAATTGTGGAAAAGTAAAATGACTGCTACTATATATCACCACTTGGCATACCCAACAGGAACTTCAAGGCTGTCCATAGCAATTTTGGCCTGCAAATATGACAAAGAGAAACTACTCACATCCCATAAATCCTAATAGATGATGGATTAGATAAGGATCCCAAATAAAGAACAGTACATTGGACTCCTCAAAGAGGAAATTCTATACATGTATATATATATATATAGAAATTAAGGAAGTTCTATGCATTACTTGTTCTATAGCAAGCTCCATAAACCCAAGAGAGGTACACTCTTCCTCACAGAAAGCCATCTATGCAAAAGGAAAATTGGACAATAAGATGTTGATATAGGATGCAAAAGAAATAAACATCCTTAAAAGGAAATATGTAGAAGTTTAATTGCCTCATCTACTTCAAAGGTGCTTCTTTCATTGATTAGAGAAAATAGTGAAAACATAGATTTAGAGCAAACTAAAAGATCATGATTCTGTTACGAAATATTTAAATAAAAACATGTCAAAATGAATCATATAATTCAATGAGACAGCATTTAATTCAATTAAGATGCAGCTAAAAAATAATCAAGAAGAAACTTAACGAACCATGAGCCACCCTCAAGAGAAAAATGAGAGAACACCTAGTTGGCAGTTGCAGTGTTACAACATTGTCTACAGAGATTAATTGATTCCAATAAATCAACTACAGTCATACCATACATTCCACGACACCTTCTCATATAATTTATATCAAACACTTGGCGGACATGAAAAATAAAAGAAAATCTGCTCTGGATCAATAACCCAGATTTCTCAAGCAGCCATATACATTCACGGAAAGAAACACAGCACATTTTTTCAATACCTGAATCAGCGACAGGAAGCAGATATATCATAACCAGACCAAAGTTTAAACCATCAATCGAATACATCCAACATAGACTACACCGAATGGGGAAAAAGAATAAAGCTGCTGGTATGTTCATTAATCTCTCAAAAGGGTTTACACAGCAAGGCACTCCATAAGATTGAAGAAACCTTATTTTCCGTCCGATTGAGCTAGCAATTGTCGTGATTTTGGCCGCGGAGGATTCTGATTAGCGAATGGTGAAGATCGGGAGCTAGGCAGTCAGCCGGGCAGCCTGAGGCAAAGAAAGGAATTATGGAAGCAGCGGACTCAGTTCGTAGAAAGAGCTATTTAAATCCCTTTTTCCTATATATAATGGCATAAACGTAATAATGTGAATTAAGGGTGTATATTTTGGAAATTTAAGGTGCGGCAGTCGTTTCTTTGTTTTTTTTTTGTAGTTTTGAAAATTAAGTTATGATAATTGATTTTAGAGAAAATGCCTCTAATTAAACACTTTATTTTAAAATTTATGGGGATGAAAAATCAATTTACATAATTGAAATGATGTTTTTAAAGAATTTGAGGTAAGTTAAAAAAAAAATAAAATTAAATATAAAATATATTTTAATTTTATAAATTAAAAGGAATATAAAAATCACAGAATATATATATATAAAAAAATATGAAATATAAAAATGGGACTAAAGGAACTTTTAAATGATTTTCTAGTTACTAATATTTATATTATATTTGACATCTCATATTTCTCTTTTAACTGTGAAAAATGCACGACTTTTTTATCTTAAAAATACATTTACTTACACTAAATTAACGTATTGAAGAATTTTTATTGGAATCAAGTATAAGTCCAAATTTAGAATATAATTTATACCAATTAAATTAGTTTTGATTAATGATGTCATGCTGTTTTCCTAATAATTTGATTTTCCATTAAAATTTTTTTAGTCAAATACATCATTTCCGAAATTTAATTTTTCATAATTTAATTTTTAACATACAATTGCATAGTGGTTTAATATAACATATAGTACATTTCAATTTTGACTAGAACGACATGGACAAATTTTTTTCCATAAAAAAAACTTTTAATAAATTGTCACAAAATATAATTTTGCAAGTTTTAAAATTTAGTTAGGCGTTCGACCTTGAAATTAAGACAATTATATATATAATCTTAAAATTATCCATATTTTTGTATATTATATAAATTTTTTAAGTCATATTTTAATAATTTAATTAGTAACCTTACTAAGCACTATGAATATTAACATTTTTGGAGATTACTATAAGAGAGTTTTTATATGGAATAAAATAGAAAGAAGAAAGAAAAAAACAAAGAACTTAAAACCCATCCAAAAACTTTTCTGGCCTTGTGCTTCATAATTCTCTTTTATCTTTTACGCTACAAGTCTCTTCTTCTTTGCTTTTGGTGTAAAGGGTAACTCACAAAAAGACTGAAAAGAAAAACAAAATAATAATAAAATATAAAGAAAAATAAAATAAAAAGGCCACTACTAAAATGTAAGAAAGCATTCCTAGCCGTTTGATCTTTGACCACTCGTGTTAGAATTCGACCTCCTCACAAATCGTCCCTGTAAAATCATAGCAAATATAACATCATTATATAATATCGTATTATAATATATTTTTATAAAAATATAAATAAGTTGACATAATTAAAATGTCTATTATTTAAATAATTAATAATTAAGATTATATCAATTTTTATGCTACTAAAAGTTAGTCAGACTGGAATATTATCTAATTCAAAAAACAATAAAGGAAGAAAAGAGAAGTACGATCCGATCATTCATCAAAGTCGATTAGGTGGGACCATTAATTCAAACGGGTCCCACTCTAACACCCCCCACCCACCCACCAATTCTCTAACTCGCCACGATTTGCTGGATGAACGAGAGAGATTACACACTAGAAGCATATGTATAGGACAAATCAACTAACCTTCATTCTAGGCCGTCGATCTGCGTTGACTTTTCTGACCTGGTATCTGATCTTCTTCGAGAAAAGTCGCGTACGTCGCTTCTCCTTGTAGCGTAACACGCTAGCTTCTCTCAACCCACCATCGGAGAACAAATCGATCTGCGCCAGCCTGGCCTGTCCAGAAAATAATATTAAACGATTCAGTGCCTCGGCAACATACGTTATGATCATGGACCTCCAATCACTAATTACATCATCAACCATTTGAAAGCTACATAATTCGACATTCTCTGTCGAGTCCCAACTAAATAAACTACATTAAATATAAAGACAATAAATTATTTTGAGACTTGCAAGTAATGGTTAATTAATTGAGAATTTTCACTTTAAAATTGATAATCAGATTTTTTTAAAAAGATTATTTTATATTAGTTTATAATAAAAATTTTAAAACATATGATTTAATAATTATTATTTTATAATGCTCATAAAACCAAGGAACTGAGAGTTCACTTGCTCGTTTACCCAAATAACTGACACTTCCGTGGAGTTCATAATTAAGTGCGAAACCTGCAGGCTTTGTTTTTCTGTTTTTGTATTTTTTTTAATAACGGCGCGTAGCATACACGTGCCAGTGACTGACTGAAACTACTGGACACTTAAAACTGTGAATTCCGGGCAGGAGACGAGAAACATACAGAGACATCGTTTCCGGCAACATCGGCGCCGGAAATGTCGTCAGAAAAGGGCGAACCACGACCCGACCAAGCGTTCAAAACGTCGTCGTAGTTCAATTTCAATAACAACCCGGGATTGGGTTTCGGGTTTGGGTTCTCTTTAGCCTGTTCCTGTCTCTTCGATACCGTCGCCGGTTTTTCCACCGGTTTTTTGTTCTTGTCTGCGAGGCTGCTGCCTTTCTTTCTGGTGGTGATATTGTTGGTGGCGGCGGTGGTCGTCGCCGTCTTGTTGCCGGTGGTTGTGGCGGAATTGAATTTTGGGGAGATTTGAAGCACATCGACGACGGGGAAGCTCCACCAGTTCCCTTCATCGACATGCCTCAGAGCTCTGATTCCTCTTCTATGGCCGAAACCGAACTGGAACTTCCCGCCAAACCCAATACCCATCGGATTCCCATACCAAGAATTGAACTGTCCGATTTGCCCCATAGGGTATGAACTCCCGCTGTTCAATTCATCGACCGCATCGTTGTCGACGCAGAGATTCCCCATGATGCTATCGATCCCCTCCTCGATTTCCTCGTCGAGAATAATCGACTCAGCATCGAAATCATCTTCGTAGTACTCATCGCACAAACCCGAACAGTTATTCACCTTGGAATCAATCTCCATTTCTCCGCCGCTGCTGTTACTCCGGTGAGCTTCCCCACAGAACCTTGCCACCTTCGGCTCCATTGAAGAACAGGGTTTGGCTTGGATTGGAGAAGGTTGCAGCAAGAAAGCAGACTCGTCAATGGTGCGAAACGGCAACAAAATTTCAGAAGATTCGTCGAAGAAGGAGCAGTCATGGGGTTTAGCGAACTTGCGTGAGTTCTTGGTGAGGTGCTTGGTAGAGAAGATGTTGGGGTAGGCAGTGGAGAGGAGGGCAGCGGCTTCATTGTAGGTCTGGTTTGGTCGTTTTCGTGGTGTTCGAGGTTTTCTGGTTGAGATTGCGTGGGGAGAATTGCTGGATTCCGAGAGGGTTGAAGATGGTGATGAAGAGGTTTGAGAAGTTCTGGTGGATGTTGATGGAGACTTGACGATTTCAAGTTCGAAGCCGTAGGTTCTTCCGCCTCCGCTCAGAAACGAAGACATTTGGTAGATATCAACGAAACAGATTGACCTAAAAATTTCCAAAAGAGAAAATTCAAGATCTATGAAAACAGAGCCCAGAGAGAATTTGAATTTTTAGGGAGACCCATTTGAAAATTTGAACCAACCAGAAAATCTAAATTCAGAGTGAATTCAAGCTTCACTTTTTACAGAGAAATGGTAGTTCCAGAATGGTTAGGGTTTAATACTGGTGGTTGAAGCACAGGGGATAGAAACTTCAGACACCCAATTGGAAGAAAAGCTCAAAATTCAACTTTTTGCTGGAAATTGGGAAGAGGAGTGATTGAATAGTGAAGAGTTGCAAAACCCTAAACCCTTACAAAATTAGTGGGTGTTGAATTATTATAAACGGAAAAGAAATGAGAAAAAGCCAAAAGCTTGGAACCAACCGATAAAAAAGTTACTAAAAAAAGGAAGAACACATCAGAATCTCCTTCAGAGAATTCTTTTTAAATAGCTAAACAAAGACAACCCATTTTTTTCACCAACTTTAAAAGGTTGAAGATTTGGAAATAAAAAAAGAAAACCCAAAACCAAACTGAGCTCTGGTTTCTGAAACAAGTCTCTAGAGTTGGCCAGGAAGAAGACAACTGCAAACCCTAGAAAAACCCGGTTGGCTTTCAGAGCAAAAAGAATAAGAACTTTAAAAAAATCTGAGCAAGAGAAAACTTACCCAATCAGGAAACCATTTCAAATTGCAGAAACGGAAAAAGAACTTAGATAGAAGGTAGAAGGAGATAAAGTGGTCTGTTAAAAAGGAAACGGGGAAAGATCCGTTATGGGGTGTGTAGATATAGGCATCTATAATGGCAGAGAAGCTTACAGAGAGAGTGTCTCTCTCTGGACATCTGGTGTTTCTCGCTAGAAAAGGAAAAAAGAAAAGAAAAGAAAAGAAAAGAGATGAAAACAGGGGAAGAGACAAGGTTTGTTTTCAGGAGAGAGAGAGAGAAAGAGGGAGGCGTGGGGCGGGATCCACTGTAGCCTGTGTTTTGTTTTCTTGTACGGTGTTTATGTTTTTACGTGACTCGCCACTTGGCTTCTCAATTATTCCATACGGGGCCGTTTTTACAAGTTTCGCCCTGGTGAATAAATAAAAAATATATATATATATATTAAAAAAATTGATATGTGAAAATCAAATTTCAATATTTTATTTTAAAAATGTAACTCAATTATACCAAGGGCATTTTAGTAAATTCAACACTTGGATGATCCTAAATCATGGGCAAGCATGGATGTTACGCGGCTGTGGCTGGGTCATTTTTTAAGCTCGACACCCATACCACCTGCTGCAAAAAGAAAAATAGACTATTATTATTATTATTATTATTATTTCTGGAAAAGGTTTCTTATCTGCTGACATGGCAGATTCTGATTGGGTTTATTAGATTTTTAGGGCTGACGTGTCAGGCCTTTTTTTGATTGGCTCAGAGTAGCATCACGTGTATCAAGGCAAGCGGAGGAAGGTGGTGGGGTTTGATTTCGGATCTAAAAAACACAACATGATTTGAACCTTTTTGGTGTCTTTTGCCGTTTAATTTGTGGCAGATGATGATCAAACGTTGGGCTTATTAGCTTCATTTGCTTCTGATTACCTGATCCTCTTAATTTTATGATTTTGCATTTTAACCCCCTCATTATCTCTTATTTCACTTTTTGGAGCGATAAAAACTTATTATTTCACTATTTGCACCTTCTCCTTCGCGCAATACTTATTTTGACAGGAAAATTTTTACTTTCTATTAATTTAAAATTTTTAAAAGTGTTATAATTATTATTTTTATTTAGACACTGAAATTAACTTAATTGACATAAACCCAACATTTTAATATTGACAAACTTTTTTATAAAAAAAAAAAAATTATAGTGATTTTGCAGGGAAATATATTCACATTTTTAAAAAATTGTATTTTCAAATTATTATTTGTAATTATTGAATCCTAATAATCAAACATTAAAACAAAGAATCTCATTAGCTTAATTTCGCTAACCTTTATAGTGAACTTATTAGAAATTTAATATATATATATATATATATATATATACACACACACATTTATACATATATGAATTTTGAAATAGGGTCAATGATGTCAGTATTGATATTAGCATTGAAAAATATAATAAAATAATAAGGGAATGGCAATACCTTAAATAAAAATCATGAAGGAGGCAGCACCAATTGTATGTTGTACATTTTTAGGGTTTTTCTATTGTATTCTCGTGTTTTTTTTAAGATATTTTACAAAATATCTTATACTCTCTCTCCAAATGTTTTTTTTAACAGAGATATTTGTTGCATAAAAATCTATATTTTTTATATGATTAATTACCATTATACCCTCTCTCTTTTTTTTTCTTCAGTCATTTCCCACAATAATATGTACTCTGGTGAAAAATAAATGTATTTGAAATTCGTAAACATGTCAAAAATAAATAATTTATGTTAATTAAAAGTTATGGTTAATTATTATTTCATTCTCTTATTTTTAGCTTAATATATATTATATATACATGCACCGTCATAAACATCTAATATAATATATAATATATAATATATATAACATAGTAATAAGTATTGGGGATTTATATAAGTACATTTTCATGATATTGAGATAATTGATATATATTTACCAATGGGTTATCTTTTTTGCTTTTTGGCCACAAAAAAAAAAAAAGGCATACCATCTCATTGAATTCACAACACAAATTGACAAATATATACCTTATCTTTACAGGCTGACTTGGGGCTCCCTACAGCCTTTAAAACTGGATAACCACTGCACTTTCTCTGGTACATGTGACCCTTTCTCCATTATATACATACATATACACACACACATATATATATACTTACACAAGTATATACAAGGGCAAATTTTAATTTCACCACTTGTGTTTTAAAGACATTGGAATTTTCTTGTTGCCATTTCCTGACCGGTGGATTCAGATATTACCCAAATTGATTACGCAGATAAATCAAAATAATTAAACGGATTAATTGATTAATTAGTTTAAATAACATTTAAATCACGAGGTAGTAATTAAAAAAAAAAAAATTATAAATCTTAAATTGGAAAACTTCAAAGCACATTATATAAAATTAAAAATTTACTATATATATATATGTATACAGACATGTAAAATTAGCCTATCTATCAATATGATTCTACTGTTATGGTGATTTGATCTTGTAAACATCACGTGATAGAGAAGCTACAGAAGATCTAGAATGGGATTTTAGATCTTCCCATGCGTTGATATTCAATGGGTCCTTTTCATCATCATAATGTAATCAAGAAAATCCAATTAATTGGATACGCATGGATTATGAACTTTTAAAATTAGCTAATGCGTATTTAAATTTCATTTACTTACTAATCAGTGAATTATAATGAATAATAATTTAATTAACTTTTTTTTAATACAAAATAATTTAAATACACATATATAGATTGCAATAAATTTTTTTTTTTTTTAAAAAAAAACATTAAAGTTACTTATATAAGTAACATATGTTCTAATTAACTTTATCTCTTAATGTAATTTATGTACTAATTAAATTTTTTAATCAATTAGTCAACACCCACTTAGTCTCCTATCTTTTACTATCACTAAATTTAAATTTTCAATTGAGAAAAGATAAAATATACGCGTCATACTTGGTCTATATATATATATAGGTGTATGTATGTATCTCTAATTACGAAATTAATAAATTTAACATAAGTTTTTGTGTGGGCTTAGAAATTTAAGGGATTGGGACATCCATGCTGCTGATTTTTTGTTAGTCATATGCTAAGTTCCAAAGCAATTAAGAGCCCATTCTTGTTCGGGATATACATACAAAAATTGTCTGGCGAATTTAATCAAAT